AATATAATATAATATAATATAATATAATATAATATAATATAATATAAAATAATATAATATAATATAATATAATATATATAATATAATAAAATACAATACAATATAATATAATATAATATGATATAATATAATATAATATGATATAGTACTTATAATAATAATAATGATAATAATAAAAATATATTTTTAAAAATAATAATGATAATAATAATAATAATAATAATAACAATGATAATAATAATAAATAATAATAATAATAATAATAATAATAATAATAATAATAATAATAATATATTTATTGTATTCTATAATAAATGTTATTTATAAAACACTTTACTAACTGCACTTTAACAATTACTGATGAATTCAAAGGTTTGACTCAGATCACTTAACTTCTGCTCATGTAAACTCAACATCTTCTTGGAAATGTGTAATTTTATTTACCCTAGTTTGACTAAACTTCTACATGAACACTATATCCCATTATCTTTCCCTTGAAGTGGAAGGGTCGGGGGTGCTCACACATGGTAACGGTAACCATGTCAGCGCATGTTAGAAAGCACATTCCAGTTTTAGTTACCGGTCACACTCCTCTGGTCACTTATGAGTCCCATCACTCACCTTCTGGGCCTGAATGACGACGTTCTGGCTGTATGCCATCACCACTATGTCATGTGGTTCAAACTGACCGACGTCAGCGGACGTGTAGTAGGTGTCACCCACACATCGCACCCCACTGCCCGCCGCGTTGGTCAGCCGGCCCTTCACACTGCCCCCCGCAGAACCTGCAGACACAGAAAAGGCTTGCTAAAACTCTCTCCTTGTACAGTCCTGCTCACCATTATTGGCACCCATGAAGTTTAAGTACATATAGTGGAATATTTTTTGAAGGAAATTCATCAAGTGAAACAACATTTTACTGCTGATAGCTTATGCTCAATGCAAAACAGCAGATGATAAAAAACATTTAAAAAGATAAATATTATGAGGAAAACAAAGAAAAACATAATGTTTACCATGTCAATGGTATTGGCACCCTTTGCAGCAAATCAGTATGAAAACCCAATTCGGCTCACCTGTTGCAAATCACAAATAAAGATCACTTGCGATGAACTACCTCCACACATGTGACATGAATTAACCAATGAATGATCATGTTGGTACTTTAAAAGCCACCTGTTAGTCCATCTTCACATGTGACAATGGTAAAGACAAAGGAGCTGACTGAGGACACCAGAAATGCTATTATTTGTAAGCACAAGACCTCCAAAGGGTATAAAGCCATCTCCAAAGACCTCGGTATCCCTGTTTCAACGGGGCGTAATGTTATTAAGAAGTTTTCCAGGCATGGAACGGTCAAGAACCTCCCTGGACGTGGGGGGAAGAGAAAAATTGATGACAGAAGTCTTCGACGGTTGGTGCGAATGGTGGAAAAAACACCACGTCAAACATCTAAAGACCTAAAGACCAACCTGGAGCAGTCTGGTGTGATTGTTTCAACAAGTACTATACGGCGCACACTAAACAAAGTGGGGCTTTATGGGCGGAGGCCAAGGAAGACCCCATTGCTGAAGAAAAGACATAAAAAAGAACGCTTGATCTTCGCAAAAGAGAACCTGGACAAACCTCAAGCCTTCTGGGACAACGTTTTATGGACAGATGAAACAAAAGTGGAGCTTTTCGGTAATTCACACAAACAATATGTTTACAGACGGTTCAATGAAGCCTTTAAAGAAAAGAACACCATACCAACAGTCAAGCATGGTGGAGGATCCATAATGCTGTGGGGCTGCTTTGCGGCATCTGGTACTGGAGGGCTTGACCGTATCACAGGCATCATGAAATCAGAAGATTATCAAGCAATTCTAGAGCGAAATGTCTTGCCCAGCGTAAGAAAACTTGGTTTGAGGCGAAGATCCTGGGTCCTCCAGCAAGATAATGTCCCAAAGCACACCTCCAAAAACACGCAGGCATGGTTGAAAGGGAAAAATGGACTGTTTTAAAATGGCCAGCAATGAGTCCAGATCTCAATCCAATTGAGAATCTTTGGAGGGTGCTGAAATCTGCCATTGGAGAAAGGAACCCTGCAAATGTACAAGAGCTTGAGCATATTGCAAAAGAAGTGTGGGAGAAAATGCCACCCGAGAAGTGCAAGAAGCTTATAGATGAATATAAGAAACGTTTGGAGGCTGTCATTGCTGCCAAAGGCTGTGCAACCAAATATTAAGGAGGGGTGTCAATATTAGTGCACATGCTGGTTTTCTGTTTTGTCCTTTGCAATTAAAATATTTATGTTGAAATGGCAATTGTCTTTGTAAAATTACTTTGGACCTCAAATTGAAAGATACTGCTGATTTAAGTTTTGAACATTTCCATTTATTTCTGAAGATATTCACTCAGCTATGCAAAACATGAAGGGGTGCCAATGGTGAGCAGGACTGTATATATATATATACATATATAT